TTTTTTTTTTTTTTTTGCTTTTTTTTAGGGGGGTGTTGTTGTTTTTTACACAAACATAGAAATATTTAGATATGACTGTGTAGAGAATCAGTTAAACAGGTTTGGAACATAAGATATACACGGCATGAAGAGTTAAATGACGACAATGACGTTGATATTTAAAAAGCAAATAGTTTTCAAAACGAGTATATCAAAGTCGAGATTCCTTTATTTTTGTAAAAAGAAATATCAATAAAATGAAACATAGAATTAGTATCTATATAAAAACGTGGTACATGGAATAAAAAGAGATGTCTATTTTTATGACGGCCGGTGAAAGGAAAAACAATGCCATGTGTGATTAAATGGTCAGTGAATGACCTTATTTATTTTAAACATAATGAATTACATACAACATATATCATTAACACACATACAGAATTTTAAACATAGATAACTAAATACATGTACATCAAACATATTCGTGTAAGTTGATATATAAACAATTTTGTGAATATCGTAAAAATGATGTTCCTTTAACATAAACAAATAAAAATGTGGAGGTTAAGGCACAATACTGAGGTTATTTGGCATGACGGAACCAAAACTCGTTTTTCGAGATTAATGTCCCATTTGATGTTGGTCTAGACAAATAAATTTTGGTGCGAAATCAGATCATTTTTCAGATCATTTCAGAAAAAAAATCTAATTGTGAACTAGAACTCCGCGAGTCGGATGTGTCGCCTTGTGAACAATGTAGTTTAGGGGAAATGGCCAGGACAAAAATGTAATATGAAAAATAACAAAGGGCAATAACTAAAAAAATAATAAGTGCAGAGCAGCAGTTTCTGTACACTGCACTTCTTATCAATAAGATCTATCATTCTATGATGTTTCAAGTCCATAGCTTTCATACTTGAGGAGAAATGACCAGGACAAAAATAAAGTAAGAAAATCAACAAAGGGCAATAACTCAAAAATAAGAAATGCAGAGTATCAGTTCTTATGCACTGCACTTCTTTTTAATGAGATCTATCATCCTATGAAGTTTCAAGTCCATAACTTTTATACTTTCGGAGAAATGGCCTGGACAAAAATTAAGTATGAAAATTAACAAAGGGCCATAACTCAAAAATTAAGAAATGCATAGTACCGATTCTTGTGCACTGCACTTCTTAATAATGAGATCTATCATCCTATGAAGTTTCAAGTCCATAGCTTTTATACTTAAGGAGAAATGGCCCGGACAAAATTAAAGTATGAAAATAAACAAAGGGCAATAACTAAAAAAATAAGAAATGCAGAGTACCAGTTCTTGTGCACTGCACTTCTTCTTAATGAGACCTATCATCCTATGAAGTTTCAAGTCCATGGCTTTTATACATTAGGAGAAATGGCCCGGACAAAAATAAAGTATGAAAATTAACAAAGGGCAATAACTCAAAAATTAGGAAGTGCAGAGTACTGGTTCTTGTGCACTGCACTTCTTAATAATGAGATCTATCATCCTATGAAGTTTCAAGTCCATAGCTTTTTTAGTTGAAGAGAAATGGCCCGGACAAAATTAGAGTATGAAAATTAGCAAAGGGCAATAACTCAAAAAATAAGAGCTGCAGAGTACCGGTCCTTGTGCACTGCACTTCAGGTTATTGAAAGAAGCATGCATACCAAGTTTGAAGTCAATCAGACTTATAGTGACTGAGTTATGCTCCGGACAAGCTTTAGGGGACGCCGACGCCGACAACGACGCCGACAACGACGCCGACACAGACGCCGCCGCCGCCGACACCGCCGACAAAAGTAACCCCTATATGTCACCTTTTCAAGGCGACACAAAAATGATAAGAATCGGGATAAGAATAGCACCAAAATACAACATTAAATGTATTTCTGAGTATATTCTTTTACTATTTTTTGCATTTCTTTCAGTGTCTCAGCTTATCTATGTAAAGAATTCAAAGTTCATATTTTCAGGCTTTGGGCCTCAGTGGAGTTCCTTTAATATGGTATCGTAAATGAGTAAATACTAAGATGTATCTTTTTAAAGCAAAGATAAGTACCATTTGTATTCAAAAATAGTGTAAATAAGAAAACTTGATACAATTGAAATGAAACCTTTAAGAACGCCAAAACCCGCAAAATTGAAAATGATGTGCCTCGCTTGACATGGACGGTAGTAGTAAATGCAATATACCGTACACACCAAAATGATAAGCAATTAATTTAAAAATATACCATGCTCAAATTTGATATTTGAAAATATTCATGATTCCTAAATGGTCACTTTGCAAATATAAAATGAACATGTTTTGACTTCACACGAAGTAGATATGTTATGCTTTAAATCCTACACACTTTAATGAATAAATAATCTCATTAAAAACAAACTTGTAGTTGTTTGTTTTTTTTTAAGAAAGGACCAGCTTTATGCACAGTTTGTACATTTTATTTAAATAAGAAATATTCAGTAAGAATTTTATGGATTTCAATAAATTTCTGCAGTTACAATATTTTACTCAAAGATGAGCGTAATATATTCTTAATTATCTGCCACATGATATGAAGTTCTGCAAAACTTCTACTTAAACATAACAATGATATATTGCAAAAAGACAGACTGTAAAATTTGTATAATGACAAAATATATAAATATAAATAAAAGTTGAATATATATAAAGTTGAATATATATAAAGTTGAATATCGATCGATGTTAAAAACCTGCAAAACGTGTAACTCTCATGTTACGACTTTACCTACATTGTACAGAACACCATGCTGTCTTGATGCAATACTAAAGTTCTTGATGACGTCTTTTGTTAATTAAAAGCTTGGATTAATTTGGGTCAGCAACATAATAGGTAATAATTGATCCCTAGCAAAACAGCATGTTTCTTAGATAATAAAAAACATCCCGGGTAGTCTGCTAGAATGGTTTCATATTCAAGTACCATGGTGTAATATCTGGTATAATAGTTTGTGAATCTGGTATAAAAAAGATAGAAACAACTGTTATGCATGGCGAGCAATGGTGGTCAGTTAATTTGATTTTGTCACACCTTGAACAATGAGAATGACGGACTCTCAGTTGAAATAATCCGAGCCACAGTAAGATATTTTCTAATTACCATCGAAACAACATGTCTATAAATGCTGTGAAAATTGTTTGACAGTATTTATATTTGTTTGACAAAGTACTTGTACAGCATTCGATGAGTACATAATGAAAACTTCTTGTCCATGCCATTATTATATATGTAACATTACCGTACCAATTTGACAACAGTCATGTGGAATAATTGTGCTTATTAAAGTAAGGTTTTCAGGAAACAATATACATGTACATTGTAGTGTTTAGATGACAATGAAGGAATGAATTACACATTACATAGAATACCTATACAAACAGAATGCTCGTATTCAAACATTTTTTATCTCAAGTTGTCGTTTATTTCAATGAAAAGACAATAATTATTTCATTACAATTATAAAACGTTATGTTTCATTGATAGCGACTAAATGACGTCATCTCCTAGGCTTAAATGCACCCGTCCATTCCTTCTCTGCCAGATAAAATTTCCGGCATGGGTAAAACTAAAGGAATAATAACTGCCTATAATAAAATATGTAATATGTTGCGGTTCAGATCAAAATATCTGTTACGAGGGTATCCGACCATTTGGCGATAACAAAGCTTCTTAAATGAAGACAAAGGCAAAGTGAAACGCATTTTTTCGAAAATTGATATTATTTTTAATATGGCCCAATTTTCAATTAGGATTTTGAATTTTCTTTCTTTCCGACAATTTGATATATATACTTCAAATTCCATCCTAAAATGACATAAATATTAATAAATGGATTCATGCAAATTAAAAAGAACCTGTCGTCCTTGTCTGTTCTGTATCCCTCTTTTTTCATAAACCCTTGGTCAGAGGAACCTGTGGCCCACTCGGACCTTCGCGTGTAAGTAGGTTGTTATTTTGTCGAGATGTAGTGATTTGATTAGATAACTTATCAATTAGCTGCATATCTTGAATACCGCAGGAGCAAAAACGACTTGTATACGCACAAAAATGATACTAGAAGAATAAATTTGGAAAATATAGGCCCTCTGGCGTTCTTGTTCCTGTGGTGTAAGTACTTCTGTGAGCACACTGTTTTGTTTAAGACTCGAACTACAAGCACTGTACATTAGAACACACACACATGATCGACCAAGAAAAACCGAAAAAGACAACAATTTGAAAACTGGATACTGTCTTCTAAGAAAGATAAAAAGTCGCCTACCATAAGCAATTCATTAATATTTAAGCATTTTATATGAAAGAAATGAGATTAAGTATTTCATTTAACAGCCATAAAATGTCATAGGACAAAGGTTAAACATTATCACTAATAATAATTCATACTTTATACGTATATACTGACAGTCATGTCAGCGCTATTAATAACACATTGATTATATTAGAGTCTTTGATATAACAAATGTGTTGTAAGATAAAAGATATATTGATATATTGCCTGTTGCCATTTATAAGTGATATCGAGAATGATTTTAATTGAAAATTGAAAGTAACATAACCTTTGAAGAGTGTTGAAATTACATTTTAGGGTGTAGGTTAATATTTATGCTTGTGAAAACGACTTTAAAATTTGGTTGTTGAGATAACAGCAATACATGTACATATAAACTATAATAATCCTGAAGTTGTTTATTTTGAATTTTGTTATCTCAAACGCTTAGTTTTACATGTTAATTATGAAGTTGTTAAGGTAGACGCTTGATTTATGAGGAAACATTTGTTCTTATACAATTAGTGTTGACTTTAGAATACCACTTAAGCCGCTGCCTGGGGTGCCAGAGATGTAGACACCTTTCATAATATCTCACGAAGAGACTAACTAACACCGAGTAGTATGTGTTTATCAGCTTTCTGTTTTGTTTTAGTTGCTATCGATAGATCTCCTTTTTATATTTTCTTTAATAGGAAGTCGGGCAAACAAATTCTTTACGTTATGAAATATATTTTTAATCAATAGAGGAATTATCATATTTAATATTCCTTCTTTATATCGCCAAGATATGAACATTACACGATGAAATTTACATCTCGATTGTTTTACGAATCTATTTGCATGGGAGACCACCGTTTCGAGGCGATGGACAAGAACATGTGGTTTTGTGAATTCTTTTTGTACATTCTAAAGGAAATTGCCATGAAGTGCCGACCTCTTTGCAGTCGTCATATGTCTCATAACACCATCCACCGTTCACTGAAAAAGGAAATTGAATGATTACTTGCTAAGATTGTTTACATGGTTAATGTATATCGCATTTGTCCTTATTTCTTATTTTTGTAGTTATGTAATTAACGACATAACAACTTTTTAAGGTTTTAAGGAAAAAGATTAAAACATTTCAGATAAAATGAAAACATTTCATTTTTCAAATAAATTAAACCTTGACAGTACTGTCCTTCACAGGCCGAACTGCTAACCGAGGGTCCAGCACAAGTCCCAACAAAGTTGAAACGCCGATGACATGTTCTCGACCGTTTCCTTGTACCTAGCCCACAACGAGCCGAACAGCTACTCCATGGTTGCCACGAGCCCCATACAACATGAGCTGTAGTATATCATTTTATATGCTAGATATGCTTAAATTGGATTACATTCACAAAACATTCAAGAATTACAAAAATTTGGATAAAATGAGGCTCTAACATGCCTTTTACACAATGCATCTATGCACATATAAAATTTACTTTAGTCATTGAATGCTCAAACTTTTGAATGCACAAAATTCAATTGATATTTAACAATCTATATGATAATCATTATTTTCAAATACATGTACTAACGAGTGTGAAATGAAATGAAAAAGATACAAAAATCAACATTAGTATAATAAATCATTTTACCACAAGTAGCGCAGGACGATGGGCATCTATTCAGTACTATTTGTTCTTTGCATGCGTCTGGGTTAAGACGGCCGAATGTTGAACACAATGCAGTGTCGTAGTCGATACACAAATCGGTCCGAGTGGAAAAATATGCCCTTCAAAATGAATATTTCTAATTGTCATCTTGTTTTTCCTTTGCATTTAAGTATGGTTCTCGGTACCATATAATAACTAACCCTTTTCACGACAGAAAAGTAAATCTGGTATATATTTTAAAATGTACAGACGTTATTTAATTTCTAAGCTGATCTTAAGGCCAGAGTATTTATTATCTATATGTGTTGATAACAGAATTTATATCACAATTCATATTTATACGAGGATATATGAATAAAAACAATTGAGCGTAAGTACGAAATATCCACATCATTGAGAGTTTATTCTACTTTATTGTTAACGTAACATCCTTTTAGTTCTACACATTTGTTATTTGAGTTTGAAAGTGATTGAAACCCGAACGGTAAAAGTCAAAATCATGATCCCATAACTAGTATTCCAAAGCAGCAATCAACTCACCATCATTACAAATTTCTTGCACAAAGAGATTTTTTCGTTTCGGGGCTAAGTCTTGAGAAAAAGGGGAATGCTTGCATTGCAATCCAGCTGGTGTGAAGGGTGCGTTGTCCAGATGAAACAGGATTTCACGCAGGACGTTGCCTTGATTGAATGATGGCGCAACTTCTATCCAAGACTTGCATGATGCCTCACTATGATTTAGTATTCCAAGTAATTGATGTGGATCACTTCTTAACTGTTCCTTAAAATTGTCGCCATTTGGTACCTTCATGGTGGATAAGGTTGTCTATGTTGAATTGGTTTCCATTTCATAATTGCTTAGGATCATAATGGTAAGCCTGATGTCATCACATTTTACAACTCTATAATGAAAGTCATCTGGGCAATGCGCATGCCTATTCCACTGATCGTAATCCTAGACAGTTCCATGTCACCTAAAAGCATTCTTGGATTCATTGACATGTAGTTTACTGCTTATGGATCCATATGAAATACTAGCTACGTCTTCTAACTCATATAGAATATTACGACGGTTTTCCCACACTACTGTGTACCATCTCTGTGTTTTATGGACTGATACTAGTTGTCAGCTATCCTGAACTGGGATTTCATGTAAGGTTCATGAAAGGTTTTTTGCCACGTATGGACCCTACCGCCTTAAGTCGCTCCTGTATAAACAGCAGTGAATTGTTCTTCAACTTATAGAGCAGACTGTGTTTCCTGGACTAGAACCTTTGTTAGTGCCCTTTACTAGTTTTGTCAACACGTTGAAGTGGCACATATTAGGTTATTGTTATACAATGTACAAAACATTTTAAATTCATACGAAATATCGGCCGATTTAATATAGAATAAATACTTTCATAATAAATATCACTTTTAAGTTAGCTCCATGCCTATCTAAAATGAAGACAAATTATTGTTGCATTAAATGTCTACAAAACATCGAAACAATACCTGCTGGGTTATTGCTGCAAGCTTTCAGGTTACAATGGTCCGTTTTGCAACACACTGAACAAGATTTTTCATCACTCCGCTTTCCAATAACAGGAGCCATATTCACAGGTTGGGTGTTGCAGTCCTATGTAATAATTGTCAAATAAATAGACATATTAGGAGTTACTTTATTATTCATTTTATGTTAATATTTGAATATCGCGAAAAGATAACTACAAAATTACATAAATGATAGGATTCTTAAACACCTTGTTATCTTATGGAAATATGAGCGATGACGATCAATTATATCACAACACAACGCATGGGGTTTTGAACCTCGATATTTTATCACGTTTTATCACAACAAATGTTTTTCATTTGTGGTAGACAGATACAAAAATTAACCGCAATATCATCTACAGTTTTTCACTCCAGGAGCACTAAAAGTAGAATGTTATATTTAAATATCTTAAAATAGTTTTATTGTTCAACATGTACAGTAAAACAATCACCTTTCCACTGACACAACCAAATCTGTATACAACTCTATGAAATGTAAACACCTTTTCCGAGAAACAAACCTACAAGATAGATGCATATCTATTTATTCAAAAAGAAGATACATTATTAAGTTTAATTACTTGTTTTATGACAGTTTCGTTCAAATCCTTGTAATTGTTTTATGAATGCAGTCTTTCTCAACTGTTAATCTGAGGAAACTATCCGGCTAGCTTATGGATATAGGGTAGTTCTACTGATGATCTCGCACTTGCCTTAATAAATGCATGGAAGGGCAACTGAAGTCTTCCACCACCATTGAAGGCTGGAAAGTTGCCATATGACTTTTATTTTGTTGATGCGAACCAAAAACAATCAACTGTAAACATTGAATTGTAACATAATTTGACGAAGCAATTACTAATCTTGACTGATGTTTAATCAATTCGCGTATTATATATTACACAAATCAATGGGGAAAAGGGGTACATACTTTCAAGAATGCATGGTACAAACAACTTAAAAGTTGCAGTTCTTTTTAAAAATATATAAATTTTATACAGCTCAGTTTGTTGGAACGTAGTGTGCATCTGCAAACACTCGAGTCAAGGCTTCGATTTTGATTTTTTCTTCTGATTGTATATACTTTTGTCACTTTGTGATCAAACTGCATTCTTATGTTGTAGTTTACCGATGCAATTACGTTTGTAATGGAGTCTGTATACAGTGGCTTTAGTATCGATTCATTTATCTGTACTCTCAGGTCATGTATTCTTGCCGCTAGTAAACTGGATGACTCTACCAAGTCTTAAAATTGTATAAATGTTTACGGGTTTTTGTTTGCTTGTTTTTTTTTTGTTTTTTTTTGTTTTTTTCTACGATAATGGAATCAAAGCTCTGTACATGTAGTTTGCTTAAATACACTGGTTTATACTCGAAATCGTTCAAATATAAAAAAGAAAATGTACACACGAAAATATAAATAATTAAAACATTGAATCATTTATAAATACTCTCCAATATTAAACGATTTACCTCATTAGGTTTACATTGAATGACGTTCTTGCACTGACTTGGAGAATCTACCGAATCACAGGACAGACATCTTGGAGGCTTTGTTGAATTGTCTTAAAATTAAAACATATCATTGCTTATTTTTCAAAGTGTTAAAGGTATAATAAAAAAGAAAGTTGAATAAACAATCACCGCTTTAACTAATGATGAAAAAAGTGTGTACATAGCGTACCTGCGAGTTGGCAGCTGTGCAAGTTGCATAGATCATCATGACATGCTTGTGCACAGAAAGAAAACCCCAGTGTATCATGTCTTTGTTGTGGCTTCTGCAATCAGATATTGCAATGTTTGAAATACAATACTCTGTTTTAGTTTCCAACTTTATTTGGCATCCAATGAAAACTCTGCATTTCTTAAAAATTCTGTGCATTAATTTTCATAGACGAACAAATGTCGATATTATATCAATTCCGTCCAAAATCGACTTCTGTTTTTCATAGTCCTTCATTGAACCGCATAGCGACGTAATAAAGTGAATGATAACAAGGCCAAATAAAGATTTACACTTGATATGTTAGTATTCATCCGTACCTGTTCTACAGAAATTAGAAACATTCTCCGGTCGCTATCTCTCCCGTCCAATTTCTAATTTCTGTAGAACAGCACAAAGATTAAGGCTAGATAAAGTAAGCACACGCCATCTCTTTATAAGCAACATGTCATGTTTTAATGATAAAACAACTTATTATAAGTTCAGCGGTAATGCATATTTCTTTTACTTGATTACATGAAAATAAACAGTCACGTATTTTTTTCTGCAGATTACAATAATATGTATTACAAGCTCCTTGGTGCATCCAGTTGTGTGTTTCACTTCCGATGTCAAGAATCCATCCGCTCGACCAAAGCAGGCCTACATAAAAAAATTGAATTTTGTCAAATTTATTTATATTGTTTGCAAAATAACGCATACGATTTCGAATATCATAAAATTACATTTAAAGAATATGTGGCAGCATAGGCATTTATGAATTTATTTCTACAGTTAAAGTTATTTATCATTTTATATGGAAATCCAAATACCGATATGCTTCAAATTTGCTACCTTTATGACAAATTTATTTACATTCATTGCTTCGTTTTCAGATGATAAGCATCTAATATTCCTTAGATACGTCATGAAAACAGTATAAACACTCTCCTCTTTCTAAATAAGACAAAGCTAGGGTATTCATTTTTAGGCCTGATGCGTCTTTGAAAACTTAACAGTGCCATTTTTTAATACAACTTCACCGTGTCCCACTTTTATAACGCTGGTTTATTTAAGCCACACCTTCTTCATTATAATTTCGCTCTTATTGCAAAAACAAATATAAAGATAAGATGATTCTAATTTTGAATTGCAAAGTACGAGATAACTATTTGAGTATAATTTAGAGCACGGCTATAAGACCTAATGTGGCATATATATATACTAAAAATATGATAAAAAAGAAGAATAAAGAAAATAAAGCGCATGTTTGGCATATATTATATGAATTTTAGTTACAAAATTGACTTAAGAAATCTAATGATAAGAAATAAGATGATATTGTGGAATTTCAGCCTTTGTTATCTTCAATGATTTCTTGCACTCTCTATTAAAGTACAGGTCCGTATAATAACACTTTAAAAGAATCATTTTGTTGTTGTTGTTCTTCTTCTTCTTTTGTTTTGTTAAAGATACTAAGTATAAACATTCTTATTGATATCTTCATTATTCCTACATGAACGGATTATTTTTAAATGTATCAGTAGACTTTGAATTCGATAGCGAGGAAATGAACTCCATGTGTCATTTAAAATTGGCTGTCAGTTCTCATAGAAATGAAAGATGGTCCGTTGATTTACAATCAACGACATGAGCATCGCACCGCCATTAGTTAAATGATTCTCACAAAATGTCTCACCGCTGAACCAGACATCATGTGGGAGAAGTGGTCAGTCATTTGAAGAAAAATTGTTAACTACTGGCTAGTTATGCAGCCGATCAAGACCGCCGAGATATGACCAAACGGCGTAAAACAACATATCGATTCGTATGATTGAAAACATTTTCAATACATGTGTCGTCGGTAACTCTTTTTACTTAAAATCATAACAATACAGCATCACTTATTTTCTCAGTCCTATAGTCACAAACAGTTTATAGGAACATTTAACGTGTCGATACGTGTGCATAATTAAAATGGCATAGATGGTCAGTGTTATTCAAAAAGATTGCAATGATTAAACGGCATGGCAGGCACAATGAAATAATGTCCAATACCTCTCCATCCGGACAAATAGTGGTGTTGAAACACTCCTCGTTGCTTTTTAAATCACTGCATGAATAGCACACCAAAGAATGGACGCCTGATAAAAAGGTGAACAATGAAATTATATGCAGCTTTTTATTTTGACCTCCGACTTACTGAGTTTTTATTATTAACATATATAAACTTGATTTGTTATACTATTTAATGAGCTGAGACAAATACATGTATTAATAAAATCAACATTTTCATAAAAGTGTTTGTCGTTGGAATAGATGTCACTTATTTCAAACGAAAACAAAATACTTACAGCTAAAAGAGCTGATTAATAGTATTGTATCCAGAAATGACGAAACTGAAAAAGTGCAATAAATAGTGCTATACTTCAATCTTACGGTTGGTATGTTTAAACATTTATATAGTTTATATAAATGTCTTTTGTAAATGATTTATTTTAATACGTGAACAGACCATTCAAGTGCTCGTTTTACTAAATGTATATCAATGTACTGATATAGCTATATAAGATTACTTTATGCAAAATTAGTAAATCACTTTTGATATATACATGTACGTTTAGTATAACTAGTGTAGTGTAATTAAATCATGTGCTCATACATGCTTGTTTATTATGTCATATTTCAAATATCTATACATTACCAAGCATCTTTCCAATAAAAGCAAAATATTAAAATATATATGAAAAGTAAATTTAAATGTAAACTTTATTGTAAAACTCAACGTTTACTTAACTATTCATGGTAAGATTTAACTAACTTAATGTAACGTTATCAAACATATACATGTACTAGATAATGTTTGGGTTTAAATGTACAAATAGTTTCCTTGATCCTTATCTCATTTCAACGAATGAAGACATAATTATATTTATCTAAATTATAACCTTGTTCATATATTATTCCAACTGAAATGCTAAAACGATGGGAAAACATTTGTAAATCATCAACACTTAAAATGTTCATTAGAGTATTAAACTTTCTTAATGGAAAGCGATCATTTTATGATATGATAAAAAATAATGAAAAGTTATAAGAAAAGTGTCTCGTATAGAAAAATAGAAAAAAACAGTGTTGTTATATCGTCATCATATAATATGTTCCAATTAATAATTCTGACAAACTGCCATTTTGTTTCTGCTATGATTTTGATACTCAATTGTTCGATGTAGATACAAAATTTTGAACCGGTGGAAGGAAATTAATTGAACTGCAGGGAAGAAATGTTGCCCATAATGAGGCGATGTGCAGAGCGCAGCTTTGAACTTTCTCAGGTCAAGGTCAGGGTCACGGACGAACGGACATGCCGGACTGTCATTTTGTGTCAATATCAAAATTTTGTGTTCGCTCTGTATCTTTTGAACCGATAGAAAGAAATTATTTTTTTAAGCAAAATAAAAGTAAAATTGTTTAGCAAAATATTACTTATATGGAGTCGGTGTGCAGAACACAAGTTCGGATTTCCTAATATCAAAATTGGATTAATTGATTTATATAGGCTTCCAGGAGTTTTCGTGTCCGGTCTATATCTTTCTAACCGGTGAAATGAAATTGAAACTACTTGCAGAAGTGTTAACCATAATGAGACGATGTGCCGAGCGCAGGTTTGATCCTTCTCAGGTCAAGGTCACACTTAGTCATTTTGTATCGATATTAAAACCTGCTAACAGACGGACGGACATGCCAACATTTGGGGTTTATGTGTTGTTTTTTCTTTGATATTTATGTGGCCCTTTTCCACATAAACCAGTCGGTTTATGGGATTTATTTCTTTTTAACTAAGGTTATGGACGAAATGAAGCTCACAGAACATTGGCTGTTGCCCGGACGGACGGACAACCAGGTGCATCGCATAACAATTTACACGGCGTATAAAAAAGAAAATAAAGTAATCTACAATTTTTGGTTGTTCATAATGTGGCAAAGAACAAATAATACTGGAACGCTACTTTCGTCCATTATGTTTTATAAAAATGTACTTGATTTGATGGGACAGATAAACAAAGAGGCCTATTTGTATCCGTATTTCTGAACATTTCACCAGTAAACATAAGCCTATTTTACAGGTCTTTCTTGATCAATATAACGGCATATTTCGTGTCTCTAGAACAAGAACAATATATTTTTTGTAAGCCTCAGGTGTCATAATTTTCTTTTTTCCTCATATAAATCTGCATTGAGGGTAGACAATATATAGTACAGTTATGTCGTTGAAGTTGTGGGAAATATGTTGGTTCACTTTGTGATTAGGCCACAAAATGGTAAGACCGTGTTTCAAGAATTATTTTATTCTTTTTCATACCAACCCTATTTGAAAAAGAATTATCCTCTATTTGTTTATACAAACCTTTATTTGAACTTTCCTATGAAGTGATGCGGCGTTTATCAAACTAATGGCAATCTACCTAAAATCCATTCAATGTACGATATTCAACAGAGAAACACGTGTATATATTTTAATACGTTTGATATATAATAAAACATGTTTATGATATTCTTTATTTAAATTTATTAGAACTAATTGGATAGTAAAGCTCTTTGAAGTTTTTTTTAATTATAACTCTGAGTTAGTATGTCTCCAACCGGTTTCTTCCAATGTGCATAATGATTTAGACAAACTGCCATAATGAACAGAATGTAGAAACATTTATCAAAATGAATATAAATTAATTTAATTATCTTGAAATCAACACACAGGTATCTCACGTTTGAAACAAAGAACCGTGACTTACCCCACTTAGAACTATGATTTACATGTATTAATGTATGTAATAAAACCAATAAAAGTTCTTTGTGATGTCTTTTGTCAATACATTTCGGTAAGCAAAATATTAAAATTTCATAAAAATGTGAAAATTGATACCTTGCTAAAACAGCATCTTACTTGGAAAATTTAGATTATTTTAGCAAGTTTGCTGGAAAAATTCATATTTTAGTACCAAGGTGTTATACATCGTGATTAATGATTCTGGAACAAATAAAGATGAAAACAATGGGAGGGCGAACAGGAATGACGAGTTGATTTGACTGTTTAATAATGTATACATCATGAATAAAGAAAAGAATGGAGACACCTCTCTTGTTTTAAAAGAAAATGTCACCGCAGGATATTTTTTATTAACCATCGTAATAGCATGTCTGCAGTTGGTGCGAAAATTATTTGAACACATTTATTATCCATTTATTGTCAAAATATTCAGGTGTTTGATTAAGTACTTACAGATAATATAGTACAGTGTATATGTGACATCTATCCTTAATGTGCCGGGATGGCAGAAGCGTTCCTACCGAGATGATGTGGTGTGGGCAGCACCGCTTGTGAGCCGGTGAGAGAGAGAATTGTAAGGGCGGGTTTGACTGAGGGGAATGGAGATAGTGATGTACGTGGGTTTGGAAATGAAGAGCTTATCATAGGAACACGAGAGCTGGCTTGTATAACTGGAACGAACAGTATAGATCAGAAGGGGTCGAGGAGTAGAATAGTTGTGAGGGGTAGGTAGGACTAAGGATGGCAAGGGTGACGCGCACCCTACAGTGGTGCGGTGGAGATGCGGGCGTGTGTGTCGGGTGTAGTGTGGCGAAGTGGAGGTACGCAATCAGGAGAGCAGGAGGAAGTGCGGTGTTGACGAATAGAAGGTCTTAGATGTCGAGTCAGGAAGGGAGGTTAACCGTGGGAGTGAATTTATTGTAGCTGTTATTTTCAGCCTAGGTAAAGCCGATATATGATCGGTAGGGTGTGAAAATCGCATGGGTGTCTTCAAATTTGTTTGCTTTCGCGCTGCAACTAATGAGTCTGTTGAATCTCGGTGGATGTCATTTGCTGAAGTATCGTCTCTTTAATTCTGGTGGCAGTAAATGAAATGCCGACTCGTCGTAGATTCAGCTGGTAGGCGCTGTGCGAGGAAACATTTGTACCTGCGGTAATAAAAATGGTGAAATGCTAGTATCAATAGGGTCTAGAGAGGTAGGGTTAAAAGCCTGTTAAGAGAGACAAGAAACTTCAAAAGAGCCAAATCTGTACTAGTTATTATGTGGGGCGCATCGCGGCAATGCGCCCCAATGGGGGATAACGACAATTCAGGCGGTTACATGTGGTGAACGACGAATTATGCAAGCGTGAGCGCCGACGCTACGCAAAATAGTTCAACTTGGGGGGGCGGCGGAGAACTCCAAATATTGAGTTCGGCGCGATCTAGGGGTGTTGAGGAAGGTTGGATGCGAAATTTGCGTACTGAGGAGAGTTTTGCAATCTCTTGAAAGTGGTGTGTGGGGTAGTGTTGGCGTGTGTAGGCGAGGTGTGGTGGGTGTGGTGAGCGTACGCCAGGCGGGGTCGAGCTTTAGCGCAAGTACTTGCATAAATATAGTACAAAATACTTGTAGTCACAAGTAATTAAGTGTATAGAACTCAAATTAGCAGAAATGGAAATACGGGAGTTCAGATGCAGCGTAAGCTGTGAAGGGCTGTATGAGGCCGTGAATGGCGTGTCAGTAGAGGGGTGGTAAATGTTAAGAAGAAAAAGCTTTGCAGTGCGTAGGAATGACGAACTATTTTCGGCGGCTTAGCGTCTTTTGCGCCGGGCAATCGCCCTTGTTTAAAAAGTTTATCCGTGAAGAGATTGCAGGAAGTTTTGCTTTGAATAGGTAGGAGTTCCAGCGGTGTTAAAACGGTGGGTAAGTGTTATATTACGAGAAGAGAACGCGGTGTGAGTCTGCGCGTTGTTACGTGAGAGCGGTTGAATAACTTGCTTGTTTTTGCAATTTATCCAGTGGCGAAATCGTCTGTCAAAAATCGTGTTGGTGTGCAGGAGACATATTACAGCGTTCTGGCTGGGCGTTACAGAGATGAAAGGTGACAACGGTGGTAGTTCAAGAGGAGTGCGTGGGATGGGTTCGGATGTGTGTTAGTTTTCATAACTGTTTATATTTAAGTTGCAATCAAAAGCTGTATTTTTTACAAATGTTTCTTCACAATCGGCCATTATCGGGTAAAGCTTTTTTGACTACTGAATTGACCTATATCAAATTTTAAGGGAATGGTGTGGCGAGTTCGCTTCCGCGTGCAGAGAGCGCGGAGGTGTTGGCTGCGGCCAGACAGTGTTGTCGAGCAGAGTGTGTGAGTAGTAGTAGTGTTTTGTGTGAGGGTTGAGTTGTGTGACGAGGTCTAGGGGTAGGGGTAGCATATTGTTGGGATGGCTTACCTGAGCGGCGGCTTTGTTGTAGAGTGAAGAGTGATGACAATCGAGTTAAATGAGTGGCTGAGTTAGGAGTTTGTCTGGCGAGAGAGATGAACTGGGTCCGTCGGTGGCGAGTGGATCGCAGGTATGCGGTAGCCGTCTTTGCGAAATCTGCTTGAAACGGACCCTATTTGCAACATGCAGAGGTCATTCACTGCTTAAAACAAAACCAGCGATGGGATAACACATGTAAAAATTCATTGTAATAAGAAAAAGAAGGTATGAACACTTAGAAACAGGTAAACCACGGAACACTAGATTGTTTTTATTATGCTGCGGATTCATCATGTGCCTGTGTTTTTCATGTACTGCAACTTCATAAATACAGCCGACAAAAAAATCGACATGTCTTGCCTGTCCCATCACCTCGACATACTTTTCGGCTGCAATGTGAAGCGCGGTGGGTGGCGTGATTAGTAGGTTGATGCGGAGTGGGTATAGATAGTGTGTGAGGTATGTTGCAGTTGTACATATCATCTGTCGGAGGCAGGGGAATGGCGGATGATTGTCGAAAGAA